TGTACTTGCTGTGCCGTAATCATGAGCAGTTATCATACGTAAACAGCAAAGACAGTTGTAACTTTCACAATTTTCAACCTTATCTTTACCGTCATCCTCAACCACTTTATTGCTATCATCATCGATGTCGTTCCTCATCTTATCACCCTTTATTTCTTCACATAATGATCATCAGTTGTCTTATCGTTCCAACGAATGGATGCAATAATGTCTTACACTTCACATTATCTGATATTGCGCAATTCTCGTAGAGTAAATGATGTTCAATTTTGTTCTCTGCATAAATTGCCATTTCCAGCATTGTCCAGATTTAAATAATCCTCCTAATCTCGATCTCAGTTTCAAGCGTTGCAAGACTATATTTATCAACGAGTAATCGTTTCTTATCATTACCTAGCAAAATGACCCAGCTTATGCTCCTTTGAGGAACAAGGGTTAATTCTCAAGTTCTTATAAGACCCGGTCGTTGATTTTCATGTTTGTCTAAAGATTCATAACTGTCGTCTGCAACATCACATTTCAAATGCTTCACTGGGTCTGTATTCTCCTCCTTTAATAGTTTTGCTTTCGCAGTTATCGTTTTCAACGCAATGGGCCAGAAGTTTAAGCCAATAGCTTTAGCGCACAATAAATTTCCTGAAAGCTATCAGTTCCAATGATAGACTGGGGTATTAGTTAATCAATGCCATTATATGCAAAACTTATAACACGAGAAAGTGAATAAAGCCATTCAAGACTCATAGATTAATGCATCATGTGCATAGACAGCTGACAACAAAATTGATACTTCTCACAGTCAACATTTCATTGCAATCGTTAGTTGCATTGTTAAGGTAACGTCAGGAAAGGACACAACTAGGTTAAACTTTTTTCATCGTATGTTTAAGGGTGAAGGCGTTTTTCGCTTCGTCAATGATTGTCACCTTATGTTTTGCATACTGTTGTATATTAAACGTAATTATATATTTTTTTTAACTGTCATAGCTATACCTTCTGCATTTTCTAACTTTTCCATATTCACTTTCTTACACCAGGTGAAAGTCATTGGATCAGAACTGGTAATCCATTGCGAGAACGACAAATATGATGCAAAGTTGGGAAATATTTCAAGAGAGGTGCATCGCTCATACAAAATACCAGCTGATGTGGACACCAAGACCATTCACTCAGAATTTGACCCGAAGGGCCTGCTGAGGATCACAGCTAAAAAGAAGAAGTAAACAGTTCTCGGCCTTGCGAACATATTGCTGAGAACAGTAATAGCTTATACTTAAACATAGAGTTGTTGGTATGTTTCATTAGCCAGCTGCTGTTCTGAAACTTACGGTGTAAAATTCAGAAGTCAGGCAGTTTTTCAGTGAATTCTCTTTTTTGTATCGTGCATATGAACCTGTGTACTTTTTCAATAAATTTTGCCTTGGCCAGGAAAAGTTCTGCCCTTCATGGAAAATGAAAGTATTTAAACTAGGGAAGAATTCCCAGAATTATTCCAAATTTATGCTGTTATTCTGTGGAGGGGGCAGTGGTCAGTAGGTTGTAGTAATAGCTGAATTCACTTGCTATATTTCAGTTCAAAAAGCCAAGAAACAGGCTACAGTTGATTGTTTTGCGAATGGTAGGAAGAGAACTGTTCTCTTGTGTCTTTATACCAGAAGATGTCGAACAGGCGACCATGCATCCAATGCATTCGTTTTGCAGTTGCAGTTCGTTTCAGCCCACGTAACGCTGAAAATAATCAGCACAGGGTGCAATCCAGAAACAAACGTAAACGTACAAATAAATAAAGAAAAATAAATGTATAACACATAAACATCATGAGCTTTTCTGGGTCTGAGTATCTCAAATAATTAATGACTCCTCAAAGGCCACATTTCAAGGGTATTCTACAGCCACCTTACTCTCAGTGCATAGGGAGGCTATTTCAGCAC